CATTTTTTTCAGGAAGAACTCCTTTTCAGACTCTTGCACAAGAGGAGGGTTTTGTTCAAAAAGGAGCTAGGTAGACATGCGCAAAAATGGAGCCTCATTAATTATGCAAATGAAGCACAGTGTTATTCCCTGCTTCACCTCATTTTCATATTTTTGCACAAAACGGGGGCAGTATAGACATAGTTGTAGAGTCCTTTGTATGTAGTCATCTACATACAGAAGATGCATACTGTAAGTTACAAGATAACCTAACACCACCAGTCTTAGATTTTTCAAAAACGCTGTATTCTGCAGTGTCTAGTCCTCTCCTGGATACTCAGAGGAGTAATAAGATTCCTTTGCTCCTCTAAGGAAACAAACTGCATGGGAGTTAACTGTCACTTCTATTCAAAACACACCACAGAATAAAAGCTGAATAAATTTATTAGCAAAAGGAGATAGGATTTTAGTGAGTTCAGGTAAGAAGGATAGAATTACAAATGGTTACAAGCAAAAAAAATGTTTTCTAGAGGCTAAAACATAGGGAAACTGAAAACCTAAAGTCTAAATCCATCTACACTTAAATGATGGCATTTTTTTTCTTCCTATACCTACTGTCACTGAGGTCAGCAGTACAATCTACAGGATGTGTTTATGTAACTGATTTACACCATCTATGGTAATGAGACTGTACATTTTACAATTGATCCCGGTTTTCATTAAGTGAAAAGCTCTGATAGGCTGATTTCACCATCCTTTAAATTAAATTTGAGAGATTCACTTCAGTAGAAGATTCCCATATAGACAAAGGTCATAGCATGATCAAGAGGACTGCAGGTTTTACAGCACTTTGTTTTGGTATGGAAATATCTGCAATTTAGAAATGCTTGAAGCCCAGCCCACAGTGAGGTATTGAGGAACCTGATGATGGTTAATACCATCTCTCCAAATCAATGAGTGCCATCGTTTATGTAGCAGGTAGTAATGAAAGTAACATTTTAAGAAACATCAGTGCCTCCCATAGTGCTGCCAGATCAAAAGGTATGCTATCAAGGTGATACATTATCTCAGGAGAAAGCAAATAATAAAAGTACAACATATAATGTGCATGAATTTACCTGCTTTTACAAAAAAGCTTACAGTTAAAAGACACATGGTGCATAGGAACTCAACCCTCATCTACACTAGGGGTTATTTCAAAATAAGTCCCATTACTTGGAAGGCAGGAATAGGGTCCAGAGTAACCTAGAAAGATTAGACGTTTGAGCCAAAAAAAATCTGATAATGTTCAACAAAGACAAGTGCAGAGTCCTGCACTTGGGGCAGAAGAATCCAAAACATTGTTACAGGCTGGGGACCGATTGGCTAAGTAGCAGTTTGTCAGAAAAGGACCTAGGGATTACAGTGGATGAGAAACTGGATATGCATCAACAGTGTGCCCTTGTAGCCAAGAAGGCTAATGGCATATTAGATTGCATTAGGAGGAGCATTGCCAGGAGATCTAGAGAAGTGATTATTCCCCTTCATTCAGCACTAGTGAGGCCACATCTAGAATATTGCGTCCAGTTCTGGAGCTCCCACTGCAGAAAGGAGGTGGATGCATTAGAGAGGGTCTAGCGGAGGGCAATCAAAATTATTAGGGAGCTGGAGCACTTGATTTATGAAGAGAGGCTGAGGGATTTGGGCTTATTTAGTCTGCAGAAGACAAGAGTAAGGGGGGATTTGATAGCAGCTTTCTACTTCCTCAAGGGAGGTTCCAAAGAGGATAAACAGAGACTGTTCTCAATAGTGACAGATGGCAGAACAAGGAGCAATGGTCTCAAGTTACGGTGGGGGAGGTCTAAGTTGGATCTTGGGGAAAACTATTTCATTAAGAGGGTGGAGAAGCACTGGAATGGGTTACCTAGGGAGGTGGTGGAATCTCCATCCCTAGAGGTTTTTAAGTCTTGGTTTGACAAAATCCTGGCTCGGGTGATATAGTTGGGGTTGGTCCTGCTTTGAGCAGGGGGATGGACTCCATGACCTCCTGAGGTCTCTTCCAGATGATTCTATGAACAAGCAGAGCATCCATATTACCAAGCCCATTATTTCGAAACTAGCCAATTAACCCGTCATAAGACGGGACTTTCAGGTCTCTCCTCCACGTCAGTCTTCTCTCCTGAGCCTCCGGTCTCTCGTTCTGTCTCCGTCTCCCTCTCTCTCTCTCCTCCTCTACTGCCTCCCGCCTCCCCCCCTCAGGTCTCCTCTCCCTCTTGCCTCTCACTCGGGGGACCGCAGAGTCCAAATGGCCTTTTGGGCTCCACGCTCCCCGTGCTGCATGGGGAGCGCGGAGCCCAAACGGTCGCTTACGCCACTTGCTCCCACACGACAGTCTGGCTGAGCGGTGCAGAAGTCAGCTGAGTGCCACAGTGGGAGGTGAAGGGGGGCAGGGCAGTGAGGTACAGGGCCAGGAGGTGGTGCCTGGACGAGCGTGCATCCCCGACAGAGACAGAGGAGAGCGGCGAGAGAGTGAGAGACAGGAGGGAGAGAAGAGAAAGAGAGAGATGGAGAGAGAGATAGAAGGCGGAGGAGAGCTGAGAGGGGGGGGAGGCTGTAGGAGGAGGAGAGAGAGAGAGAAAGAGACACGGAATGAGAGACCGGAGGCTCAGGAGAGAAGACGAACAGGGAGGAGAGACCTGAAAATCCTGTCTTATGACGGGCTAATTGGCTAGTTTCAAAATAACAAGTGGAACATCCACACTACCAAGCCCGTTATTTTGAAATAATGGGCTGAGTTATTTTGAAATCTGTATCCCTGCTTTCCTCAGGGAATAAGATTATTTCCAAACAGTTCTTCTAATGTAGTTATTTCTAAATAATTTCCTATTGTAGACATGCCCTAAGGCAGTGGTCCCCAACATGGGCTAATACTGCTTATTTCAGAATAGTTATTTTGAAATAGCGGTAGTGTGGACACTCTACTGCTGTTATTTTGAAATAACTACTCCCCAGAGTCATTCAAAGTAATTGCCCCCCAGTGCTTCCTAGTGTTACCCGCACAAATTACTCTATCCCCTCCACACTGTAGGGACACACACCTTTACCCTGTTCCTAGGGCTCAAAGTGCAACCCTGTGAATTTACACACACCCCTTACCCAATTCCTAGGGCTCAGGGTGTAACTTCCTGCAGGTTGGCAGGATCTTTAGCCACTGAAAGAGCCTCACACAGTAATATCCCTATCCTCTATTTATTGACAATTCCCAAACAAGCAGAATACACATGCTAAGCACACAGTGTCATGCTCACCAATCCTGATAAAGGCAGGCAGACTTCCCCTGTTGGCCAAGCAATATCAATCTCTCTGGTCTTAGGATGTCTTGGAGGTGAGTTCTTCTTCTTGAGGTTCCTTATCTTTCCCCATTTCTTGGTCTTCTTCCAGCCTTTTCTTCCTTCTGTTACTTCTGATTTTCTTCTTCTCCTTCTTGAACCCCAGTTTACATAATGAAACCTGAGTCTTGCTTAGCTATATCTTAACCAATTATTTTAGTATAATTTTACTAACCAATCATAGCAAAATTACCTAACCAATCATACCCCACTACCATAATTGATTTACACAAATTCATTATTCAGCAGACAGAAACAGTTACAAACCAGACAGACATCACATAGTCAAACAATAGGAAAGTGTAATGACAGTGATCCACAACACTCTCTATTGATAAGCAGAAGAGTGATAGAAATGCAGCCGTGTTAGTCTGGTGTAGCTGAAACAAAAAACAGGACTATGTAGCACTTAATAAACTAATAAACCATCTTGTTAGTCTTTAAAGTGCTACATAGTCCTGTTTTTTGTTATTGATAAGCAGTTTCTTGCCAGACAGAATGGTGTTACTTAAGTTTTCTTTACCCATCTTGGGATTTGTTTCTTTATCTGGTGACAGCGGGGGAGCTATCATGGCAAAGTCCCCGCGCAGCCTGGTGTGACACTTTTTAATACAAAATAGATGGAACGTGAGTATGTGACTCCAGGCCTTACAGTAATGGCTGCTACTCTTCAGTCTGGCTGCAGAAGGCGGCTTTGGTTCAGGCCTAGCACAAGCCTTTCAACATACATATTGAAAAGCCATATTGTTACACTGGTGTTCTAAGTCAAGGTAGCGCATCCACATTAAGAGAGCCTGCCTCGCACAAATGTCGAGGCTACCCTGTAGTGTGGAAACAGTATTTCAAAATAGCTATTTTGGGAGTTATTCCTAAATAAGTTATTTTGAAATAATTTCCTAGTGTAGACATTCCCTCGGAAACCAGAAGAAACACAACATTTACTATTTATGGCATAGGTGCTAATATCTCAAGATTCTCAAATTATCTGCTACAGATCAAATAAAGGTCAATGTATTGCTTAGACTTATTAACAAGAATAGACTCACAAAAGATGTACTATAAAATTTAACAGGAGCATAACTAATGGATCTCTCCAGAAATAACACTTAGAAAAACCTATAGAACTTACAGAAGTATATTAATCTTTTTTTTCCAAAAACATATTGTAGAATTATATAATAAGTTAATAACGCCAATAAATTATCTAGGCTGGTCATGAAACAAAGACAAGAGAACAGAATCTTCTATTTAATTCCCTAAATCTTTTCTATAAAAGGAGGTGCCCGTTCCAGCATTCTTACAATTTTACACTGTTTTTTGTCTGAAGAAAACAAAGTGTGAACACTTCTCTTTTCTCTAGAAGATGTATTTATTCTCAAGTTTTGATTCTTTCTTTGAACCACCTAGAGCCATGTACCTGAACAACCAAACCCCCAGCTAGCCATTCAATTATGGCAATTTGCTCTAGCTGAAATCTGACCAAAAGGGTCTGTCAAAATCTCTGGGCGGGGCTGGACAACTATGGAACTTTGCTTCAGAATTCTCTGAATTCTTTCCACAGTATTGTGTGTCACAATCTCAGCTCTGTTCTTAAAAAGATTTTTCCCCTTAGGGTTGGTTACAAAGATAGTTCACATTTTTGAGGCTGAGAGTGCAAACCATTGCCCACCTGAGTCTACAAAAGGCAGAAACAATTACTCTGAGAGGTGTGAACTATCCCTGCCATCTCATTCAAGACACTGTGGACTGCGCTCACACTACAATTTTGCATTTTTCCAAGGTATCACAAAATTCATTGGGGTTTTTTGTGGAGAATCTTGGTGGATTTGGTTGGGCTCATGTTGATACATTAAATTAATACTGATGCACAATTTAGATATACAAATAATGTGTGACAGAACAATTGCATTTGAAACCACATTTGAGATAGAGGCTGTATTGTTTGGGGAGAGAAAAAGGTGGAGTGTTTATATAAATATATTTTTCTCTCTGGTTATGAACTTTATTGTGGCTAATTCTGACTTTGTTTACAACCACAAATCATATGAATTTGTTATTGCAGAGCCACCTTAAATGACTATAAACATTTGTTAGAATAGTTTGATGGTTGCAATTTTAAAGTTTAAAAACAAAGACATTATTTTTTTTTAAAAATCAACATAATGAATATAAAATCTTGTGGAAAGTAGGCCTTACAAATATTTACTTACTTTTCAAATTGTTATTTGCATACAGCAGTACTTAGGAGTTTCAGTTGTGAATCAAGGTCTTTCTGTGCCATGCAGTATAGAGACACGGAACATAAGACTCTCTCTGCAGCCAATGAGCTTAAAATGTCAGTAAAAATGAACTTGTGTTGGCCAAACTCATACCAATTGTGTTCACATTCCATTGTCCTTTGTGCAATCAAGTTTTACTGGCTTAAATTCCCACAGAAAAGTAAAATGTGATTAAGTAAGGACATGTCTATACTTACAGTGCTGCAGCAGGACAGCTTCACTGCTATATCACTTAGTGAAAATGCCACATACACTGACAGGAGAGCTCTCCCATAAGTACTCCATATGCCATGGGCCTCTGGACAAGGTGGGGGTGGGCGGAGCGGATCCATGCTCCCAGAAGGGGTGGAGCCTCTGGTGAATGAGGTGGAGACAAGGCATCCAGCCCTCAGTGCCACATGGAGCATGCAGCGCTGACTTTGGGGATGATTTAAAGGGCCCGGAGCTTCATACACTCCTGCTGCTACTGTAGCAGAGGCAGTGGCCAGAAGCCACAGAATCGCTGGAAGAAAACAAGCTAATTAGTTAAATACTATTGAACAATAAATATATTTGAAGAAATCATAATCTGCTTGCAGTTCTTATGCAAAAGGAAAGAAGGTTACATGTGTATGCTAAATCATGCAATCCTTTCCATAATTTCTGGATTTCATTTTAAACAGAAGTTGGACAGTAAATACCAGACAAGATGAACTCACAGATACTCCAGGAATATTGTTCACACCTTGCCCAATCTGTATGCAGGTGACCCTCAGCTTTGCTGCTAACTTCAGTGCAGGGAGTACCACAGGGTATGTCTACACTACAAAGTTAATTTGAACTAACAGACGTTAGTTCGAATTAACTTTAATAGGCGCTACACTAGCGCTCCGCTAGTTTGAATTTAAATCAAACTAGCGGAGCGCTTAGTTCGAACTAGGAAAACCTCATTTTACGAGGATTAAGCCTAGTTCGAACTAGCTAGTTCAAATTAAGGGGTGTGTAGCTCCTTAATTCGAACTAGTGGGAGGCTAGCCCTCCCCAGGTTTCCCTGGTGGCTACTCTGGCCAACACCAGGGAAACTTGTCTGCCCCCCTCCCGGCTCCGGACCCCTTAAAGGGGCACGGGCTGGCTACGGTGCCCATGCTAGGTGCAAGCCTGCCAGCACCCAGCCAGCAGACCCTGCACCTGGCACGGCTCCAGCCCCCCCCCCCAGCCCACCCCCTCTTCCCGGGACCAGGCTGATGGCTGCCGGGAGCTTGCCCGAGACGGCAAGAGGCGGGCACCCCCCTGGGCTAAGGGCG